ATGCATACAATAGAGTTCTTCAGTGAGAATTTGGACACAGATAGGACCTTGTTGCTTTCTCCTGTTCTTTAATCACAGCCTGAGCTGCCTGATGCCATCACCCAGAGTCTCTCTTGTCTTGCTTAGACATGAAAGAGATTGCAGCCAAACGTGGGCTTTCCATTTGCCACTTAGTCTGTGCCTGTCTTTGAAGTTTATTTCAAGAAGTACTCCCTGACAAAGTAAGAAGGCAGGTTTTCATTTGAGATTATATCCCTTGCAAAATATTCCCTCAGCAGTGAGAAGGAGACATGATGTAAGAAGAGAGCATTCCCTTCCTTGCTTTTTACCAGGCACTAAGAGGGTGACCTCTGTGATTCTCCCGATAGAACAGAGGCAAGAAAAACCCTTTGTCATGATGAAATCCAAACCTCCAACATGACGGGGCACAGCATGAACAGCCAGACCGTCATTTTCCTTTCCTTTCAGATAACCCAAGCATGCATCTCGTGGCTGATGTTAAAGGTGATCTGCAAATGGGGGTTAGCAGTGAAACACAGTAAACCTGAAACTCTTAAAAATTCTGCAGCAAAGCCAGAAAATATTAGATTTTATATTCTTTGTGTTTGGAAGATAAATAAGGCAGTGATAGAAGAACAACTACTTCAGGCTTTACTTGTCATAGAGAAAATAACAACACATGTACTGTTAATTGAACATCAGTCACAAGTTACCTACTTTATTTGGACAAGGCAACTTTGTGCTCTTAAAGTTCAAAATGGATCACAGTTCTTACCTGGTGAGTCATTTAGGAGATAAACCAGTAGAGCTGCTAACCAGCATATGAAACGATATGGTGTGATAGGCTTGCAACTACCTGTGTGTGTGACCTATAATTTCTCTGCAGGGGAAGGTGAGATTGCACTTCCTCACAATAAAATGAACGTTTTAAGGGGCACCTTGCCCCTGAAATTTGAGGTGTGCCTTTTCACACTGCTCCACCAGTTTCACTCCCTTCTTCACCCTGGTGCTTCTGCCTTCCTTCCTTCCACTGCTGCTTCGGCAGCAGCCTCTGCTTTTAGCTAGACCTGCATCGGTGATGCATCTTCCAGTGGGAGCCAGCCGAGCTGAACTATCAGCAAAAACACTTTTTGAGCTCTGAGATCAGTTCCTTCCCAGGATGTTGTGTCAGCTTCCCTACCTTCTGCCTGCCATTAACTGCGGTGGACCCCCAGGTCAAACAACTGGCCAAAAATCTGGAAAGCAGCTGACGGTCAGAGCAGCTCCTACTCAGCATGTCCTCTCAGAGGGCACGCTCCTGGCCTGGTCCTTTTGAGTGGCTGGACCTGCTTGACCCAATTTGTGGATTTTTGATCACTCCCCTGGGTCACTGATTTTCCACTTGAGGTTATTAGTTTGACCCCCAAACCGTGGGTCACTTGGGAGGTGTGATATGGCCCTTTGAACTCTGAACTCATCAGGAGCCAACAAAAACAGTGAGGGGGGGAGAAGAATTTCATTAAGACCTCCTCAGAGGTGGCAATGTCTGCTGAGCAAAAAGGCAGGGATTGTTTTGCTTCTTGCAGAAACAAGCAGAACATCTACAAGGGCCTGCCAAGTAGAAAGTGTTTGGTTTGAGTTGTTACGGCAATTTAAGGATAAACAACAGCATATACTTTTACACCATGAGCTATCAAGTGAAAATGGTGTTGCTTCAGAGGAGCCCTGCTCTTCCTGCTGGGAGCTGCCCCCAGCATCCCAGACTTATTCCTAATGGTGACAGCATTTTTATAGCCAGAGCTTGATATCTGTAGGTGTTTCTTCTACCTCAGACAGACTTTCTGATGCTTAATTTGACACAATTGGGGAGGGAAGACTGGTTTTTCCTATATTTTCAGACTTGTCAGATGGAGGTTCGTGTCGGAGGTTCATGGAGACCCCAGGCTGTTGGTTTGCAGTGTGAGCAGCTTCCTAAGAGCAGGCTTCACCAGGCATGGCTGCTAGGCGGGGAAGAATGAATCCTCAGGAAATAACTCCGCTTCAACGTGCAGTGCTGGTCATAAAAGGGAAGAAAAGTGTCCTCATCGTAGCGTGTGTATCTGCACACATAACACCCACGGGGATCACCAGGGGAAGTGAGCTGGAGAGCGTGGTGCAGCCACGAGGTTATCTTTCATGAAATTTCCCAGTCCTGCTGCCGGGGGGCTGCCTTTCGAGCAGTTACTAGGGTTTCCCAAGGTTTTACTCATGCAAGAGTTCTGGTAATCGTTGGTTAGATCACTGCTTGTATTATTGCCAAAGCTGCTAAAAAACCTCACAAATCTTCTGTCTTCCTGGGGCTTTCCTAAAGGATCCATGTGAAGTGGATTCAAGCCTTGTCTGCATGTACAGCTTCTCCTCCCAGCTGCTAAGCCCTGACCGTGGGGAAGACGATTGAGAATGATACCACCCGTGGGTGTTTCACCCTCAGAGAAGGGAAACTGGTGCTGAGAGTGAACAGCTGGGATATTTCTTTATTTTTTAAAGAAAGATTTTTTCCTTCCCACATGTTCCTCTCTGCAGTTTCTCTACACATCCAGAGACTGTATTAGCTGTAAGTGAACCCGCGATGGATTTTGTTTTGTAGCATAGGTAACAGCAATGAAGACCTGATGGCACAAGCTCAAGCAGCTTGGGTACATGCCTCAGGTCTGGCACGCTTGCGCTTCGATTGCTCAAGCACATCTTCACTGCACAGTCCTGGGTCAAAGCTGGCTGAATGTGCTACGCTCTGCACAGCCACAGCTTCTGTGGCAATGGTGTCCCACTGTCTCCTAGAACTGGACCGGCTGAGCTTTCCCGGAAACAGCTCTTTGGGCTGGACGGCAAAACACATCCCCCTCTTTTCCTGTAACATCCAGACCTCGCGTGAGTTGAGGGATGAGCTGTGTGCTGAAGGCTCAGTAGATGATGCTGGTGGCTCAGTCCTGTTCTCCACAGTCGTTTTGGTACCAATTCATCTTGAATTTGTTATTTTGGAGTAATTCAATTTTGCGGTTAGAGCTCTGTCCAAAAGCTACCCGACTCTTCAGTGAGTTCTGGATCAGGTTCCAAGCTCAGTCCCTTTTTAATGTGATCCACAAGAATTTGGTTGATTATAGCTGCCAATGAGAACATCTTACAAAATCTAATATACAGGATTTTGAGCATTATCCTTATATTAAAAGGTGATAGGTGTAGGTTTGACATTTGTTCCTGTTGGTTTGCTGCTTGACACAAAGCAGTTCCTACCATTGCAGAAGCCTTTTATGATTGGAAGTGCACAGAGGAATTGGAAGCTGAGTGTGATGGGACTCACTAGTGAACGAGTCTTCATATAGAAATACACGGAGCAACTCTTTGGCCTGTCGTGGAAATCAGGCTTTGTTGCAAGGTGTAGGTGTGTGAGCAGAGAGAGCAGTTGTCTCAATGCATGAAGTTAAGAGTCTTTTTAGTATCTCCGAGGGTGGCTTCAGGCCCTTCAGCACTTTGTCTGGACTGTCTCACCGGGAGGGGGTGGGGGGGAAGCCGGGAGTGCCTGTCTTTTATAATGTTCTGTTTTTAAAGCAAAAAGTCTCTGGGGAGCATAGGGTCCTAAAAGTCCAAGGCCTGGAATTCTTCCTTTTGCTCTTTCCATTTTAAACAGGAAACATTTGCACTAAGTTATTCCAGGGGGAGAACTGTAGGTTCATTTCAAGGCAGATAATGTTTGTTCATTGCCTGTGTCCGTGATTTACCCCATGGGCTTAAACGAGTGCAGCAGAAAACCACATGTTTTGTTTTACTTCATGCGAAACAAGTTCCAATGGAGTCTGGGAGCCCAGATTAAGAAAGGGAGAGCATGCTTGTAAAATCTCTGTGTGAACAAAAGGGAGGCATTGACGAATTGTGAACACCTGATCTGCTGTACCAGAATGATGACTTTTTTAATAACTCTATGCAAAGAATATTTAAACAGTTGTTGAGTTCAGTCCCAAAGCCACAGAGCAGGTGTAACTGATTTATACTTTCAGCCCCTGTTTTGGGTCAAAACCCTGCCGTCTTCCTTCAGCTCTCACTCGGAGAGAAGCTTCCTCTGCAGTCAAGGGGAGGTTTTGCCCAAAGTACAAAGACATTTGCAATCAGACTGGCAAAAACTCCTAATTGAGTTGAACTTTTGGGGATGCTCTGGTGACATGTCTGTGAGAACATTTCAAAAGTATGACAAGTTAAGCTGTACTAGGAAAAAATATCAATGCTTCGTTAGTGCAAATCATGGAATTAAGATGCAGAAAGCTACAGAGAGGGCTCCACAGCACATCCTCAGGGATGACATGTTCACATGTTGCTTTTCATGTGAACTAGAGCTTGTCAGATCCATACTGATGCAGACAAGTTACAGGGCTGTTGTAATATCAGCCCTTCTAGATCACAGGAGTTTTTTTGAAACCCCATTGGCAGCTCCCCCATTAAACACAGGTATTGTAGCCTGACATCCCTTTTGTTTCTTCCAGGAGTTCCAGTTTTTCCAACTGTGGTGTTTGGAAAGTTTTACAGCCTGACATGTTAGGAGAAAAAATAGTGGGAAATGGCTTGGAAAGCGTGAATATTTGTGCACATAAAGCTTATGGGATTTGCAGACTTGCAGACCCAACTCATCTGTTTATCCTCAGGCTAGATAAGATTCAGTCAAACATGCATTGTTTAAAGGAGCTTTGTTTCCATTATGGCAAATGGATCACAGGAGGCTGACTTTGGGAGCTGAAGGGCTCCAGTGCTCCCCCATTGTAAAAGGGCTGTGATGTGCGCTGGACCTTTCCTCCAGTGTCCTGGGTGTTACAGACTTTTGTAGCGTGCAGGTGGGAGGCTTGTTATCCTTCAGAAGTTCTTTTGATTCATCTGGACCTGTCATGCTTGAGGTGGCATTTCCTTTCCCAAAGTAAACATAGATTGTGAGTACAATAATGTGTCGCTTGGCTAGTAGACTGCCTTTTTATGTGCTTTATTATGTTTTTCCTCCTCAGGCGTGGACCTGCAGAGCCATTGGAATATTTAACAGGGCCACGAGTAATATACAAAGAGAGAGATCTTCCCTACTACCAAGGAGGACAGCCTGTTGTCCACCCGTCTAAGGGGAACTACATCCGTGCTCCGGACACAAGAGTAGCAGAATTGAGGTACCCCCAGTACTACCCAGCCCAGCCCGTTACAAACCAGCACAAAGGACCCCTCCGGCAGGACGTCCCACCTTCCCCTCCTCAGTCTCACCGAGCACCAGCTTATAATGAAATTGTCCGACACCGTGGGACCAGTCCAGACCAGTACCAGTACAGGCAACAGGATCCCAGGCAGAAGAACCCCATGACTGCAGCTGTATAGCCACGCTTTGGACTTGCCAGCACAGCCTGGGGGGAATCCCGTCAGACATCATCTTTGTAGAGTTGTTCCCAAGCGTAGCTGCCTGTAAGAATGGCACACGAGACCTGGAGTCGTTCTTACTGAGCTGGGCTCAGCGTAGGTGCTTTCTAACAGGCGAACTAAAGCCACGTGAGGTACGATGTGTTTTGAGTACGTGAGGTACCAGACAGTTGAGTATTTTTTAATTCCTTTTAAAAATAGAAAGTGGCTGCTGGAAATGAAGCGCAACACTTAATACACCTCAGGGCTATTTACCGAATGCAGTTACACCTATACAGTATGTAGCTGTCTGTATAAGGGCAGTGGTGTCTCCAGAGTTTACTTCAGAGAGCTGTTGTAGAGCCTCTAAGTGAGAACACAGCGTGCAGTAGGGACTTCATGCAGAGCTGGGGATCTTGTGTAATCCAGTGTGTGATCGTGAGTTGACAAGGGACTGCCGTGGAGGTAGCGGCCACATTCCAGGCTCGTTCAGACCAGAGGCTCTGTCCTTTAAGGATGCTGCAGTTCCAGATTTGTAATCTGGCCTCTATCTTCCTCTTTCTGTTTGATGGTGGCAACATTTATCTTGTAGCCTTCATTCTTTTGCAAGATTCTCCTCTTATTGCACCTGCTGCATATGGAGTAAGGCAAAAAGCTTTATCCGCCATGCTAGGACAGGCTCGGAGAGGACAAGGCAGTCACCTACCTGAGAAGTGTGTGTCTGTAAATGTGTGTGTGTGCGCTTGCGAGTGTTTCCTAGTTATACGGTGTGCGCTCTTTAAATGTAAACCCTGGAGATCAGATCCTCAGCTGCTGTCAGTGTCGCTCATGGGGTTTCAGTGGAGCTGGCCTGTAAGGAGTGGCTGAGGAGGTGGCCATGGACATGGACTCCCTAACTCATATTAAGTTCCTGTGTCAGGTGCTGCCTTGGCTCCGGCTGGGCAGCCCCTTCGCGGCCCGCTCCAGCCAGGGTTACAGCCAGGTGCCTGCCAGCGGCGTGCCCTGCCCTCAGGAGCCCATAGCCACCTGAAGGCACCTCTCGGTGCAGGGCCCACCCCCAGTCCCCCAAGGGAAGCTCAGCCTCGGGCAGTGCCAAGTGCCAAACTACTCAAGTTCCTGCAGCTGGGGCGTCAGGCCAGCAGGGAAAGGGGCTTTTCACAGCAAGGGGTGAGGGAAAAGACAAGGAAAGGGACAGAGAGGGCTTCAAGACCCTGGAGCCCGGGAGGAAGAGGAGAAGAATAGCTGTTTGCTGCAAGTTATTTGCAGCAGTGCATAGGAAAGGAGGAGGTGTGGGTGGGGAGAAGGGACCAGCAGCGCAGCAGAGCCGTGGGGGGACAGGGCGGTAGGGTACGTGCTTGGCTTTTTGCCCCGTGCAGCCTGAGGTTGCTCTGCAGCCAGCCAGCCTGGGAGGAGGTTGGAAATGCACATCCCCAGCCATGCACAGGGACCTGTGCTGCCCGGCCCAACAGGGCTGGGGCTGCTCAGAGATGTGTCTCAAGGATTTTGTCACAGGGAAACCATACAGTCTTGCCACCTAGAAATATATTTTGTGAAGTTTCCAAGTGTCCTTAATTCCTCGACTTCTGCCTTTTGAGAGTGTTATTAAACCATTTGGGCTCCTCTCCTCATCAGGGAGAGACTGTGACCTGGCCAAGGATTAAGCACAAGGATTTCTTTGATGTCTTTTTGACACCTTTGGTATGCAACAGATTAAATCGCATAGGTCACTTCCCAGGTATTAAATATCCCCAGGAAGGTTTCTCCTGCTAGGAGCATGTCCCTTTACTAGATATCCCTGGGAAAAGGGCTCGTTAGGCGCAGGGCAGGGTGGGTCTGTGCGCTGCTGCTTTCCAGGGGCCACCACCGGTAGGTAATGGCCCTGATGAGAAGCAGCGTTCAATCCCAGCCAACGTTTCTTCTGTGCTGCTGATGCTGGTGGGAGACTGGCGTATCCCTGAGGCACAGGGAGCGCTTGCAGCTGCCCGGCTGGCTGGCAGGCTTTAGCATTTGCATTCTCACCGATCTCTAACCACCAGCCAGGCTGGGAAGCAGGGGAGAGGAGAGAGCTTTGGGCTGGTGGGGGAACATCTCCGTGATTCAGATACTGGGCTGGACTCCCCAGGGCAGGGGCAGGCGCAGCTCTAAGTCCAGTCAGGAGGAAGCATTGGTGGGAGGGAGAGAGGGAGGGAGAGGAATGCAACCGATTATGAAGCAAGTGCGTACGGTTCTTGTTCCATTTCTTTCTGCCCTCTTCCCTAGTAATGTAGGAGGGGAAAAAACTCTGGAGGGAGGGTTGGATGTAAAGCTGGATGTCTCTCGGTACCATCCATAAATTAGGCGCATTCCCCAAGGAAACTCTGCCTGTCGTGTACGTGCTGTACACAGCCTTGTACTTCTCTCAAAGATTTTTAGATGCTGTAGGATACTCAGCCAGGACTTGGCAGCCACAGGGTAGCCGCTGGTATTATGAAGGCCTGCTGAAAGTGAAGCGAAAACAAATTAAAATACTTTCCTTTCCCTCCTTGAAATATAACCCCTGATACATTTGATCCAGCTGTAAAGAAACTAATATGTTTGTGACAGTGGCTTTATCAAGCCAGGCCACAATTAAGAACAGCTCTGAATATAAGCTACTGCCTTTATAAATCACTCTCAACTAACCCTTCGAATGACATCACAGCACAGTGAACAGAACTTATTTACAGTATTTCAAGAGCCAGGGCCAAATAAAATCTGGATGGAAACAGCTTCTGGGTTATTTATAGCCTTTGAAGGACCTGCACAATTGTCTCCCCGTAACCTGAATCTCTCCTTAAGAGCTCCCCTTAACTGCATCGGCTCCACTTGGGTGAGGCGGACAGATCAAACAAACATCTTCTGAGCTGTTAATCTTACCCAACAGGTTATTAAATGATGCTTCTGCTGTTAAATCAGTACAGAGCTTAAAAAAAAAGAAGTGTTACAGGTATAATATATGGATGCATCCTACAGGTGAGGAGCTAAGGAGGAAGAACAGTCTGACTTAGCTGGGGGAACAAGACCAAAAAGTATTACAGAGCATCTCATCAGTCTCTGGTGCCATCATTCTGGGAGAAAACTGCCATTTGCTGGTTTAATATCTGGTAGAGGTACGGTATTTTCAAAAGTATAATGTGTAACTACAGTATATATAGTCAGCTTCTCTGCAGTGTAAAATGTATGATTTTAGCACCATATTGTGGAAAAATATGTACCGTGCAGAATTCACGAGGTGCTATAACTGACGGTTGAAAATACACACTTGCAAAATCCAAAAGAGCCGTTAAGTAACAAGTTGTTCTTTTCCCCATATGTCCATATGTTTGGGAAAATTATGAGTCTGAAATGCTCTTGACACGTAATTGCCTCACACTCCCTCATCCAAAATGTGCCAGTCCAGCAGTAAAGTTACTGACGTAGCGGGTGTGAAGGGAGAGCTTGGGTTTGCCACAGGAGCAGCGTGCCATAAGTGTGCGTGTGAACAGGAGTCAAGACAAGAGGGAGAGAGGCCCGCTCCCACGCGAAGCTGGAAGCTTTGATTTCCTGAGCCGGTGGCGTGCAGCCTGTGTTTCTGGCTCTGGCGCGGGGCCAGCCAGGCCCAGCAGTTGAAAGATTAAGAGATAGAAAAAGAGCCTGTGGATTTTCTGAGTGACCACCCACTAGTGAGCCATGATCTTGGCCTGCGAGCAGACATTACCACTGTGATATATTATGATGCAGAAGTCTCTAGGCATCCTTCGAATGCATAAAGAAATATCAATTGCCCTTTGTGGGGGGGAAAAAAGGGGAACTAAGCATTTTTTTTTAAAAAAAAAAAAGGCTCCTGCCTTGAAAAAGTGCATGCAGCCCTGAATTCCAATTCACTCCAGCTTCCTGATCTAGAAATAGCTTCACATGCTGCCTAATTTTTTTACAGATGAATTGTGCTACCTCCTCCTCCCAGCCATCACAGATTTGTTTATCAGAGAGTCAGTGCTGTGAGAATCCTACCAACTGCTCTGCCAGGGCCACATCCTGACACTGCTCTGAGCAGGGGCTGTTTTGCACTTCCAAAAGGCCCTACACCTGTGCTCTCCATCACAGTTGTTCTGCAGAGTCTCTAAGCCTTACGTGCAAAATCGGAAGCACTATTCGCTATCTCTGCATGGAAGAGAAGGCTTTGTAAGACACTGTTCTGTTATCGTGGGAGAGAGCGAGGTGTTTGTGATCCTGACAATACCTGTGTGCTTAAGTGAAACTGATTTAAAAATCATGCGTGATTGTTTTGGGGGAGAAATTCAACACACAATTCGAGAGGTTTTTTCTAGTACCACATCAAAGATTTTGATCTTTTGTTACATATGGCTATATAAATTTTACCTGTTTTATTTTGCATTAAAATAAAGGCTTTAAGACTGTATATGATTATGTATTTGTATGTAGACTCTTTCTCTTCTTTGTATCTACAAAGTTGTCCTCGCCCCTGGATGTGATTTGATATTAGAAGATCATGCATGATCAGGCCGGATCAGAATTGGTAAGGTGACTTTTTAAATAAAAAAAACCCAACACAACAGCTATGCATTGCCTTGTAGAAAAAAAACATCGCAGGGCTTAGCTTGATTCAAATCTGCATTGTCTTCAGTTGTAGAGCCAGAGTCCTGATCTCATAGCCCTGACTGAAAGAGGAAGCGAGAGAGAAGTCCCCTGCCATCTCTGCAAATTTCAGCTTAGGCAACTGCATGTTCCTTTCTAGGGTTCCCCAGACAGTTTCATCTCAACATCGAGCTCTTCTCTTGCTGTCGGTAACAACTGAGCTGTTCTGCGGCCGCATAGCAGGTATGAGGTCCAACCAGCCAAGGCTGTATTTCAGAGAGATGGCTGCAGCACTAGCTTGCCAGAGATTTAGGACTCCTTGAAAGTTTTACACAGGTACTTAACTTGAGGTACGTGGGTCATTTCACTGAAGCTGATGACACTACTTT